GGCCGGCAGCGCCTGGCCGGCCGGCGCCTGGCGCGGAGAGCGCCGCGAGGGGCTGCCCAGCGGCGGTCCGTGGGGCGCGCAGGGACTGGCCGGCGCGGGAGGCTCGGGCGGGAGGAGCGGCCCCTGGCGCGGCGGCCCGCGTGGAGGGGCAGTCGGGCGACCGCGGCGGGGTGGCTGAGCGGGCACTGCTGGCGGTGGGGGCCGCGGGGCCCCCGGATCCCGATGCTGGTGGCGTCCCGGGCGCGTCTGGCTGGCGGCAGGGGGAGGAGGGGCTGGACGAGGTGGCCGAGCGCCTCTGAGCCTGTGCAGACGGCCCCTTCCCGTGTCCGGAGAGGTCGGGGCGTGTGTGGCGCCCGTGGGGCACACTGGGGTCCCCCGAGGCCTGCCTGCAACGGGCGGTCGCTGGTGTGCCCCTCAGTGCCGGGGCAGGGGGGCGCCGGGCAGGGTGGAGGAGCCCCGGGCCAGCCTGGCAGCATTCCTGTCCGGAGCCTGGTGGGCCGCAGCCATTGCCGCTCCTTGGAGGTGTGAAAAGGGACCCCCAGCAGGGCATGTGCTGCACACGCCCACCCCCCAAAGCACGGGGCCATCCATCCCTCCTGGCAGCCCCTGCCGGATGCCCCACGAAGCCCCTCTGCCGCCGCCTGGGCCTGGGACCCCCTTGTGCACAGCCCCTTGCTCGGCCCCTGCTGCCCCAGGCCAGTCGCTTTCATTGGCTGCCCCGACTTTTAGCAGGAGGAAAGCAAAGGCGGGAGTGGGGGGCGCCCCCTTTCCTCCCCTGGGCACCCCCCTTTTCTCTCCCCCTCGCAGAGCAGCTGCCTCGGAAGGAACAGGTTGTTCGGCCGCACTGAGCGCTTGCAGGGCCTCCTGAGTTGCTGCTGCGCAGGCAGTGCTGGCTTATCGCTGGCCCTCTGCCCAAGGAAGGCATTTTGCTGCTCCAAGCGGATGTCACAGGACCCCGCCTGAGCCGGGACCCCCCCCACCCCCCAACTGCCTGGCTGGTCTCTCCTGCAGCCCCGCTGCCAGAGCTGCGGCTTCCGTGGCTTGTCCGGACGCCAGCTCTGTGCGTATTTGTCCTTGGTGCCTGCAGAGCGAGGGCCGCGCTGGTGGTGGAGCAGGAAGAGTCTTGCGCCTGGCCAGGGAAGTTGGAAATGAGAGAACCGTGGCCCAAAGGAGGGCTGTTTCAGACAGGCCTGGGCGGAGGATCACATCCCTAAGCCGGCCCTGCCTAGCTGAGAGCAGCCTCGACTCCTGAGTTTCATGCAATGGCTTCATGCTCAATTTGTGAATTCAGTGCAGTCTGTCCGGTCCTTAAGCCTTGCTCCTCAGACATTGAGGCATAGGAGGGTGCTGTGCTGAAGCCCCACCATCTGTAAATAAAGCCTGCAGATAAGGGCTGGCTCTTATAAATACCTGATCCTTGTCATTCATCTTGAGTTTCTCCTGACTTCAGTATTTTCCTCTGGCCTCCTCTTCTGTTTGACTTGCACCTTTTTGCTTGAGTGGGAACTCTAGCCTCAGGGTGGAAAGGCGGCTCTGCGTATGTATGCGTATCTCCTCTGTGTCTCTGGCCACCAAGCCTCTTTGCCTGGGAACCCCCACCCCTGGGCCTGCTGTCCTTCACTTTTGTTATTTCCGGCTTGCATTGTCTTGTCCTCCCACAGAGCCCACTTAAGCAAGCGCAGGCCTTCGGTAGCTCACACTGTCCCATCTCTCAGTTTTTAAACCCTAGCGTTTAATTCTGGGAAGGTATGAGACTGGTTCTGTTGTTTAATTTTGAATAATTTTTGAAACCCTCATTTATGGTAAGCCATTATGTTACGGAGCAGCTTTCAAATGTCTGTTTTTAAAGGCTTAGCTCTGCATTTGATTGCAAGCTTATCCTCTTGTGTTTATGTGCAAAGATTACAAAAATAATGGTTAGAAGACTGTACTCCTATGGACACTTACCTGTGAGGAAATCCGATTGTGTGTAAGCCCACTGTGCATGCGTTTCCCAGGTTTTTGCAAACTCTCCTCTCAGCAAAGCTGTTTACTGCTTTGCTGAACCCTTTGTGGGCATCCCGTCTCTTTCTCTTGGCTTGTTCTGTTTCCGGATCCCAACCATAAACTCTGGTGTTGCTAGTATGTTGCCAGCATCATATTTATGAATCTGAGTGTCTTTTCATGCTCAAAGGTCAGAGGAGGTCAGGAATTGTTAATGCTCAAGGTCAGGAAAGACAGTTTGCCGTCTTTGTAAAGAACATACTCAGAATGCCTCTTTCCATGAAATCGGATTTGGAGTAAATTATTAGTTCTGTAATTATGTTCATCGTAACCGTCCAACAAATAATGCATCGGCGTGTGTCGGAAGGAAGGAAGGGTGGCTCCCTCCATGAATGATTGAATTGCAGATGCCAGTTGCTCACGGAAAACATTTCTGTGATAACAATTCCCTTGTCAGGGAACACCTTTAACTTAGGAAGAGACCCGTTGCTCAGAAAGAGTCCTCTTCTCTCCCTGCTCCCTGTTTTCTTGCACCCCCTATTAAAGGAGCCGTCCCTCTGCCTCGTGAGGCTCCATCCCTCCTGTCCTTCCTCCATCCCTTCCAAGGCTGAAGGAGTGCTTAATGTACTGACTGATGCCTTTTCTTTCTCTGCCCTCTCCAGCCCAACGTCTGCCGGCTGCGCTTGACGGTGCCCCCCGAGGATGTGGAGAGTAAAGGGGAAAGGACAAAAAAGGTAAGCCAAGGGCGTCTTGCTGTAATTCTCAGATTCTGCAGCCAGAATGGGTTGGCTTGAGTGGTGTGGTTTGTCTTCCTGAAAGCTTCCCCAGCCACACAACTGACCATGAAACCACATGGTGCACGAGCCACGCTTTTTAAAGTTCAGCTGAGCCGGCTTCTTTCCTGGTGGGGAAGAAGCCCCTGGGTCCTGATTTAGGAGACGGCCACCTGTCACTTACCTCCTGCATCTCGGCGTGAAGCACGGAACTAGGTGGGGTGCCTCGGGGGACAGGTGTGGGCAGCCTCCCTCCCTCCACCTGGCCCAGAGCGGCCTCTCTGGCAGGTGAGGTAAGGCTGGCCAAAGGTGAGGCATTGCTGAGTGCTTAGTAAGAGCACTTGTCAGAAGCACACCCCAAACCTCACGAGGCCTCCTGAGTAGCTGCGCTGGGGATCCTCTGAGGCCAGGCTCCTCCTCGGAGGCGTGGTGTCCGGCTGGCCGGGCTTTATTTCCAGCCGGTTGCGTACAGGATCGCAGCCACAGGTGGGAGCGGTGCCTGTTTCTGGGCATCTGCAAACCCGGGGCTTCTGCTTCTGTGTAAAAGAGTCAGTTTTGTGCAAGTACTGCAATTCGGAATTGAGACAGTGTGCTCTGAGCGGATAACGTGTGACGTTTCGAATGACACTCAAACTTCTTGTTCTGTGTGCTTTGGGAAAAGTGCATACTTCCGAAGCAGGCATTCCTGCTTGAAATTACTCGTCTCTTTGGTATTTTACAGAAACAACTGTTTGATGTTTAAGTATGAATAATCATATGGGGAGTGCTTGATACAAAACCAACAAAGGAATTTTTAGCCCAGGAAATAAAAAACTGCCTGACAGTCTCATGCCGCACCCGGTTCATAATGCATCTGTTTGTTTCCACTCCATTTAAAACAAAAACATGGATTTTGTGTGACATGTCAGAATTCTCTTACATAATCAAATGACTGTACTTTCGTATTACACCATGAACTGAATGACATTTTATGCAATATACCAAACTTACTGTGCTTAAAAACCAACTACAAAAGTTCACACTTATTCAGGCGGATGGATAGCGCGTAGCCTTCGCTAGTTTTCTAACAATACACGTTATTTCTTTGTCTGGCTATATATATACAGAGGTCCTCTGACCCTAACTATTTTCCCTGAACTGCTGCATCACATATTTTTGCTAGTGAGAGGTGTGTGGTTTAATGTTTGTAAACCACCCAGAGAGCCCTCTGGGCTATTGGGGTGGTATATAAATTCAATCAATCAATCAATCAAAGCAGTCCATAAATATGCTATAGCTGACCTCTACAGAAGAATAACGGGGTCCTTCCTGCGTTTGGCTTTCGTTGTATTGATTAAAGTTTCCTTATTTCTATACAGCAACTGTATCACATCCCCAATGGATGTTCTGCGGGGACCCTCTCGCACGGGGTGGTGTACGGCGTGGTGCACAGGTCTGACGATAACCACAATAAAGAAATGGTGGTTTACGGATGGTCCACTCAGCAGCTGAAAGAAGAAATGAAATATATAAGAGATGTGAGTTGGTTTCGGCATCCGTTCCCCGCCTGGCTGCTGGGCTTGGATCTTGCTCACCGGGCCCTCCCGCTCCTGCCTCTTCCCACAGCATCTGCGACGCGAAGGGCCCCGTGCCCCTGTCCTGAGCCGCCGGATTTTCCTGCCTTCCCACAGTCCCTGAGCAAGATTCATGGCCCACTGCAAGAAGTGGCATCGCCCCCGTGGCTTCCAGTGGCCTCAGGGTGCCCCTTGCTCAGAGCCCTAGCCAAGGTCCAGCACACTGCTTGGAAGACATTTCAGAATAAAGTAAAACATGACGTCTGCGGTACCATTTGCATTCATCTTGTGTTTGCAGACTAGATCACCGTGTCCAGCTATTCGTGGCCATGTACCACTCAGCCTTTGGGGAGATGTTTAAAGCTTTCGTTCTCATTGAAGTAGGAGCCTGATTTGGACAGAATTCCAAGCTGGGGGCGGGGGGGGGCGTGACCAGTGAACCCGCACATTCTGAAGCAAGGCCAGGACTGGATCTTGTCCTTCAGCATGCAGCCTTGAGTCCGAAAATTTTGGGGAAATGCTTCATTTTAATTTTTGAATCATGCAGTGTTTTCTTTGATGGTTGGAGTCATACGTGTTCATGGGAGCTGGCTAAGTGACTAAGATTGTAGTGAAAACAAAAACTGGGTTTTGTTATAAGTAAATATTAACTCTTGTTAGTTACCATTATAAATATGTGAACATACTTGGGTGTGAAAACTGCATTGGGAACAATATCAAATCTGGAAATATTTCTGTTTTCAGGTGAGATTAACTTTGGAAAAAGTAAGAAAGAAAATGTATGGAGAATATGATGAAATGAAACGCAAAATTCAAGAGCTTACGAGTGAACTGGCAGTAAGTACCTGTGCCTTTGGTAGAGGCAGAACCAGATGGTTCTGATGCTGCTGACTTGGAATGAATCCGAGTCCCTATTGCCCATTTAAATGGGATGCCTTGATGCTCAAAGACGCGGACCTTTATGTTTGCAGAAGCATTCTTACGTTCCAACTAATAGCATTTCTCAGTTTAATGTACCTGCTCTTTTGTTTTATCTTCCCTCTCTTTCACTTGCATCAGCTTTGCCTCGAAACACAGGAGAACAGTTTGAACTACCAGACGTGCCTTCCTTTTTTTCAGCGCTTGATTCCTCTCTCCCGAGTTCATCCACACTTAGCATCTCTCTGTCGCTCTCTGTGTGCCCTCGCTGTGCGCCCCGCGCATGTCTCTTCCGTGCACCCACACCTGTGCCGGCCTAGATTTGCACACACCTCGGCTGGTTAGCACCTGTTTTATGGACTAATACAATAATACATATCTGTAGAATATTGTTGCCTGGTGCATATTCATTTGGACTAGGTGTGGACCTCATTGAGTAAGGCTTGATCTTTCAGTCGAGTCAACATTTTTTTCCTGTTCTGCCTTGTTTTGCATTTGTGTGCAATTCATAATTACACACACAGGACAGTCTTGCAGGAGCTTTCTCTTAAATTCTGCTGGTTGCAGAATCTATCCTTTCTTCCAGTTAGATGGCACAAAGCTCCAGCCATTCACTCTTGTCTTGCATCCAAGTCCTACTGAATTCTTCAAAGCACCCAAATCGTCCTCACATTCCTGGTCTGTTCTCTCCTCTTGCTGCTGCCAGTGGCGTCAGGGCAAGTCTGTCCGTGTGAGGCCATAAATGTCACCTCGGGCAGCAGCCCTTCCGCTGTGGTCCGCGTGTCTTTTGAAGCTTTGTACGTTTCCACTTCAAACGTATTTTGCCACGGAGAAGGGGAATTTGCGCTACTCGGCAGGACGCAACAAGGGCAAAGTCCTGCCAGTGCACAGCGAAAACTTCCTGTTTTGAGGGATTTGAGTTACAAATTTATCGTCTGATTAAATGATACTGGTGGTGGGAATATTTGAACTGATCACACTTCCCTGCAGGATATATTGCAAGTGTGCAGGAGTTTAAGTAAACAGTTGAATCCCGAGCAATTTTGCAATATGTCTTCATACCGGGCTGTGTGTTTGCTTCCCTTCCAACTCCTGCCCCTTCTCCGTGACGCTCTTGTGCTTGAAAATACTGAGCCAGAGTCTAATTTCCCGAGGTTACTCCTAGATGCATGAAACAGCATGTAAAGCAGGTATCAGTCTGTGCGCACCTCTGGATCTAAGCCTTGCCCAAACTGATGTACAGAGAAAAGCTCTTGCGACTGAGAGCAAAGGCCACCACTTTCTGCTTCTCTCCGTGCGAGTTTCCACAGGAGTCACTTTCCCGCTCTGGCTTGTAAATGCTGTGCAGGGAGAGGACATGAACGCTGCTTCTGGGGGAAGGTGGGTGGGGAAGGCTTTGCGGAGCCTGGGGTGGGAAATGGGGCTGAGACGAGGGTGCAACTCGCTTGGTCTTGCAAAAGCGGACTAGGACGAGGCAGGCCTTCGGCACCAGGCTGCCCATCATTCTCCTTGCTTAAATGTCCAGAGAAACCCGTAGACACCCTGTGTTGACTGGTTGTAACTGCAAAGCAAAAGAACCTCTGACTAGGTTTGCAATTCCTGCTACCTTGAACTGAGGAGGAGACCTTGTTTTTGTTTCTCCAGGTGTCAAGCGCTCAGCAGGCATCTTTGGGAAATTCCGTAGAAGTTCAGTCTGCAGCCCTGGACAGCTTCAGCCAAATAAATAGCTCATTAACAGCAACCTCGTTTGAGTTGCAGGTAAATAGCTGATAACATTGTTACCATGGATGCGCAGTTCTTTTGGCAAATATTCCAGCTCTTGCACCATTGGCTTGAAGTCTGTGTTGGACAAAACCCAGTTAGATAAACATTTGGAGCAAGGAATCTATTCCTTCAAAACTCCAGTGGCTAGTAGGAAAACAGCATTGCGACCTTAATGTAAATAACATACATTGCTGGAGTTACATGTTTTCATAAAGTTAAGTTCTTTCTCTCCACTGTCGTATAAGGATATAATAAATAATATAAGGAAGCACTTCTGGAAGAAGACTGTAGTTCCTATATTTTCATTTGTCATCATAACCCTTAAAGGGATTGGGACTGATTTGGTGATTTAGGCAAGCTCTTCAGGCATTTGGACCCCTGAGGATCCCCCTTCAGTTTGGGGGAGGTTCTTGGGGACCACATCCCGGGGTAGGCGAGGCCAGTGGCAAAAGGGGGAGGGCCCAAAGCTTGAAGCTCTAATTGCCAATAATGAAGCCTCCACAGAGGCATCTCAGCCTTTGCTTGTTTATTTATTGAAGCTTTTATATACCATCCCTCAGTAAAAAGTCTCAGGATGGTAGTACAATGAGTGAAAGTACAGCATCAAAGCACAAATTCAAATAAAACCCCGTCTTAAAACATTTTAACACTCAAAATATCAGGAAAATAAAACGGTTTTGGCCTGCACCAAAGGAAAAAAGTGTCGGCCCCAGGCACACCTCTCTGGGGGGCATGTTCCATAGCCGGGGTGCCACCACAGAGAAGGCCCTTCTCTGAGTAGTCACTCTTCTGATCTCCTTCAAGGACTGGGAAAACATGCAGAACTTGGGAAGTTCCCAAGTGGGTGCTGGTTGGGAGAAGGGGTTGGGGCCAGGGCCTGGCCTCCCAGGGAACCCCGGACTGCAACCCCAGGTGGGCTGGATTGGGTCCACAGCCGAGGTGTGGTTTGGTGTGTGATGTTGAACAGCCAGCATATTAGAGGAGGCAACAGATGTTAGCTAGCCGTACTTTTCTCTAGGTATGTTGACGTGCCTTGTGCTTCTGGCTGCCTCCTTTTGGGCCCCGCATCCTTTTGCGCTTGGTGGCCTGCGGTTCCACAGGAATCCACATTGTTCTTGGCTTGTCTCTGGATGGCTTCCTTCCTGTTTTGCAGTCATCATGGTTGTGGATGTAATGCAGACTCATGTCTGCTGAGCAGGCCTCTTCACTTGAGACTCTCTGGTGCAGCATTCTTGCCTTGAGGGTTCCTGAGCGGGACAGCCAAGAGATCTCTCTTCATGGCTCCTTCCAAAAAATAACTTTAAAACATTGTGGAAAGAGAACAGCAATGAGTTCTGCAAGCCATTGTCCTTTTCAGCTTTTTCAGTTTTGCAGGCCATCATCCACAAATGAATGCGCTTCATTGTATTTGTTTACAGAAAACCTTAGTTGACGTTGCCTTGGAGAATACAGTCATACAAGATCAGATAAAGAATCTAAAGCAAACCCATGAGCAATCTATGGAAAAACTGAAGGAAAAGCAGAAGCAGCTGGAGGCTGCCAGGGTTGAAAATGAATTGCTCAAACTCAAGGTAAGCAGAGGCAAAGCAGCCACTCGGACGGTGCAGAACAAACCTGCTGATGTGCTTGGAAAGGTCATTGTGGTGCCTCCCAGGTGGAGGGATGAAACCTCTCAGGACACTGACCGGCTAGAGAGACGTTATCCTTATTCACCTACTGACACAGAATTCAGGGTGAGCTTAGGAGACAAGACCCAACTTCCGAACCTGCCTGCTTTCTTGCTTGTCACTTTGCGGCTGGGTCAGTTCCACTGTGTAGGAACAGCAAGTGATGTTTCGGGAGGGAGGTGAGGGCTGAGACGTGTGTTTGTTCCCCATGTCACCCCTGGTTTCTCCTGGCGGACAAGGGGGGTCATTTGCAGGCAAGGGATGTGTGCCGAGTATTGTTATCGGCCTGGGTCCTCAGTGCTGGGCCACAGCAACAGGTTTCCCAGAAGAAAAGACGGAGAGGACGACTGCATTTGAGAAGCTTTGACTCTAACGCTAATACAGTGCTTTCCGACACATGGTAGAACAGGTGTGTAACTTGAAAACCTTCCAGATTGTCGGTATTCATATTAAATTAATATATAACTAGACTGCAGGGCAACTCCAGCATGTGAGTCATTCATCTTTATTATAGCAATTCCTCTCATTTTTTCGTCCGCAGTAGGGTGTTCATGCGCGTACTTGCACATTTAGCTAGAAATGCAAAATGAAAATGCAGAACGTGACTGGGATGCGCACTGGCTCTGTCTGAGCACGTGGGTCATTCTTCTTGATCTAAAGCGGTCCTTGGGAAGGGCTTTACAATGGCAGAGCACGCAGAGGGACAGAGGGGCCAATTCTGTGCCCCCCTCCAACGCCCCCGCTTCTTCGGAGAGGGTGGCAGATGGTGGCAGATTCTAGAATGTCTCCATGCAGCAGGCAGGCGCTGGGTGAGTTTTCCCTCTTGCGCCTCCCTGTGTGTCAGGCCAGCCCTGCTAGCTAAGCGCTCGGATCCCTCTCTTGTCTCCCTTTGGCCAGAATCCTTCTGTCTCGACTGTGAAAAATGTCCACCATTTTTTATAGGTAGAATGTTCGCAAGAAGCCAATGCAGAAGTAATGAGAGAGATGACCAGGAAACTTTACAGTCAATACGAGGAGAAGCTGCAAGAAGAAGAGCGGAAACATAACCTTGAGAGAGAAACCCTCATAGTACGTGGAAAGTGGTTTCCTGGCGGGATGACACAACTTTAGTGACTCCTTGAAGAGGGGTGAGCCTCGGTCGGTCAGAATCTGCTGGAGGATTGCTGGCTGTCCTGCACTCACCCAGCAGTGGGTTCTGACTTCCAGCAGCTGGACTACCGGAAGCAAATGTCCCATGAATAGGACTGTTCTGCTTCGGCTGGCCTCGTCGCGATGGCTTCTCTCTTTGCCCCCTGCCAAAATGTGTGTTCAACAGATGTGTTGGCCCATAACACCCACCACCCCAGACAGCCTGACCTTTGACCATGATGGCTGGGGATGGTGGAAGTTGTATTCTGCCCTCTCGGGGGGGGGGGGGGGGCAACAGACTGGAGAAGGCTGCTCTGCTTCCTTATTTTGCTGCTCTGGCCTAATGTGAAATCTTTTCTTGGAAGGCTGAAACAAACAGACTGCTTCTGGCCATCGAAGAGGCCAACAAAAAGATGAGGCTGACGGAGACGAGTTTGAAAGAAAAGGACCGAAGGATCGGGGAGCTGGATCGGTTCATCGAGCGCATGGAAGAGGTCGGTATCTGCGTTGGCCCTCACATGTCCATCTCTCTGCAGATACACGCTCTTTAACCGCAATATTTATTTATAAAAATAGAAAGGTTATTTAAAGTCCTCTCAGCCACAGAAGCACAGAGTATTTATTTGCATATATGAAACAGCTGTTAGGAACAGTGCTTTTCCTGGTTGTACAGGTTTATTTTAGAATCACACATGCCACCGCTGGAGCCTGGCAGCTGGAACAGGACCTTGCCTGCCAGAGCCAGTCAAAGCGCTGGGCACGTGACGCGCCACTCCCTGAGAGCGGCCCTCCTGCTGCCTGAGCATCTGGTGTGAATGCCGCAGAGATGCCGCTGAGCGAGTCCTGCTCGGGCCCCTGCCGTGCCCTGCCCTGCCTTGCCCTGCCCTGCCCATTCCTCGTGGACTTTGCCCCAGCCGCCCGCCACGCAAGCTTGCTGATTGTGGCTGTTTCTCACTAGCTATCCATTTTTAAGTTATCAAAGTGAACCAAGGTCAAGAAGTTTGAACGTCGTGCATGGAGCAGCTGGAATCGGCCACAGTGCCAAACAGATCTCTTGGGCAGGGCTGCGGGGGTGGAGAATGTCTTAATTCCCTTTGCACGCGTTTCCATCACTGCATTTCCGCCTCTGAGGTTGCAGCGGTGTTGCAGCATGACGTTTTCGCTGTACTAGAAGAAATATGGCTAGGACAGAGCGCTCCTTCCGGATCGTTGTCCTGCTGGGTTCCTTAGTGCTGCTCCAATTCCAGTGAGATGCAGAAAACTCATCAAGCAAAGGTTTTAATTAATATTAGAACACCGTAGTGGCAATTAACATGAGCCTGGCAATCTTCTTTAGGGGAAGAGGAGATTAGTGAGTATTGACACAATCGCAAGGGAAAACCAGTTACGTTGTGCTGGTTACACGAGACTGTACGCACGACCCTTTAATCTGAATTGGCCCCATGCAAGTTTGGAAAAGTCTACCTTTTCACAAGAGTATACTTCCAAGAGAAAAATAAAATAAAATATAAATTCACTTCCGCTCTGGGAAATACCAGAATATCTGTCTTCCAGATTTGTGCTTAAAGAAGTGCTGTGGTTTCCACTGCCTCAGTGGCCACGGTTTCTGGGTTTGTTCTGCTGCTGCATGTCTCCGTTCAGTCGCTGGGTGTAAAGATCCAGCCCTTGCTGACTCTGAAGCATAAGAAGGGCCAAATTAGACAAGATGCTGGGAGGCTGAGCGCCTGGGCAAGGGGCAGGGGGAGCCAAGGGAACTGCCTCAGAGCCAGGATGCCCTTATTCCAGTTTGGGGCTGGCTGGGTTGAGCCAGGAATGAAGGCAGTGCAAGGACTCCCTTGTTCCCACCTCTGGGCAGGAGGCTAATTTGGGAGTGCAGAATGGCAGTGCATTCTGCAGCACTAGAAACCTTAGTCCTTTGGAGCCCAATGCTGCGATTCCACAATGAGCATATACCTTCCGTTCTAAAGGCATGTTTTGTAGCAGAGTTCCAGCATTAAAGGCCATGTCTATTCCCATCAGGAGCGCCTTCATCTGCAGAAACAACTCCTGGAGTATGAAACGCAGCTACCTGGAGCCAACCTGCAGGGCCCGCTGGGCAGACACAGGTGAGGTCCTGCTTCCTTCTGGGATTCCTGGTCCTGATAAAACATCCCTTGTTATAGCTGGTAGTGAATTTTGGGTTGAGGTCACATGAGGAGAGTTCTTCGGTTGGAGCACAGATTTTAAGAATCCCCTGTGTTTCTTTATAAATCTCCCATCACTGACGCACTAATGCTAAGCACTGTTGTTCTGACGACCTTAGCATGTGAAGGGGCTGAGGAGGGTCCGTGACCCAGCTGAGGAGACAGGGAAGCAACCACACTGAGATAAGCTTTGCTGGCTGAACAGTGCCCCAGGTAGGGGCGGAAGTGTGGGGGAGCTCCACTCTCTTTACCTTCAAGGCCCTTTCAAAACAAGAGCAAAAGAGGACCCCCCCCCAAAATGGGGAGGATGTGCAGACAAGCAAAGCATGGTTGATACCAACGGATAGGTAGTAAAGCATCTTTTTAGAGCTTGGCGATTGAGCCTAAAATCTCTTTGGAAGAGCACAGTTGGAGGTCTTCCTGGGATAGTGGCCATGCAGGAAAGGTGCCAGGCATCCCCTTTTCGTAGCCAAGATGGCCACGGAGATACTAATCTACTATTTGCCGCTTCTTACGCCAGGTCATACCAGTTGGAAGAGGCCACCGCTAGTCTGCGAGAGCGAATCAAGCACCTGGACGATATGGTTCTCTGCCAACAGAAGAAAGTCAAGCGCATGGTTGAGGAGGTAAGTCACCGCATCCACTTCTGCTCCGGACAACAGAGGGTCTCGGTGCCGGGATTCCCACAAGGCCTGCGTTGGAAGCGTGTTGTCGGAGTGATACTATGCTCTTCATAAGTGCCTTAAATAGATAAATGAGGCTTTTAAAAATGAATTGTGTTTTAAGCCAGAAAGAGAGTTCTGGGAAATGCCCATAGACCCAAAGAAAAACGAAAAATAGTAAAATTTTGAGTTTCCTATATACATCATTCTTGCTTGTGGTCAGCTTGGTTGCAACATAAGGTGCATTTCTTAACACGCCAGCATGATTTTCAGTAAATCAAATAACATCCGAGGCTTACCGGGGATTGTGGTGCTATTGCAAAAGAAGGGCCAAGCATGCCCTTGGGGCATTTATCTCTTTTCCAAGCCTGTTATTTCCCTTTCGGAAAAATATTGCATGGCCATCCCGCGATGCAAGCAAAGCAGCATTCCTGCCCTTGGTTCCTGTTCTGGAGGGTTCTTCTAGGCTTCGTTTTTCACAAGTTTTACATGCTCCATGCCAGTAAAGTATAGCCTGGAGTTTTACTATATCTGGTTTCCCTGAACTGATACAGGTGTGTATGAGGACCAGACAGACTTCTGGATCCAACTGATGCAACATAGGCAGCAATTTGGGGCATTTGTGTTGGGCGTTTGGGACAGGAAATGGCATCAAGCGCAGGGTTGTCTTAGTCAGTGCTTTTTTATCTTAAGTACTTTGTTGACTAGAATTAACACGAGCATTCCAGGCTCCTTAGTATTACCTTACGTATTGACTCAGTCCAGGAGATGACGTGGCACAGAGAGGTACCGGTCCAAGAAGTGCATTTGGGGAGCAGTTTTGGGGCCTTAGACAGCATCTGGGTCCTGGCTCAGGGTCCAAAGGAGCGGCTGCCGCCGCTGCTCTGAGATTGGGAATGCAAACCCCAGGGGGCGCAGGGGTGGGCTGGACGGAGGGGCCAGGAGGCCAGGACGTGTGCTGCCCTTGGGCCGCCCGGGCCCCCACCTCTCCCCTCCGAGGCTCGTGCACTCAGGCAGGGAAAAGGCCCGTCCAGTGAAAACGCGGGCAGGGTGGCGGGGAGCGCGGCCAGCCCTGCTGCCCCTGCTGCCGGCCTCCCATCTGGGGGCTCCTGCACTTTGCAGCCACGGCACATGGGATGGCGCCCCGAGCTTGGACTGAATGGAGGGCGACTGCCGGCCGCAGCATGTGGCGGAAAGCAGGAAGCATCCAGAGGCCGGGACAGAGCATGGCTGGTGCCAGCCCAGAAGCAGGGAGCCCGCCCTGGGCTGGAGAGGCACAGGAGGAAGGGGCGGGGGGCACGTGCGCTGCTTGCTTGCAGTCCTTTCGGCATGCCTGAAGGAGAGCCGTCCAGCCTGGCCCATGTGGCGAAGCCACTGACCACCCTGGGCCGCCACATCCCAGATGCGGGGGCCCACGCCACTGCGCTGGTCTCCCGGGGGCAGGCCTGCAACCCCCCTTTCAGCTTCGTAACTTGCACTGGCATTGGGCTTTCCAGGGGTGCTTTGCTAACAGAAAGGGACACTTCCTGCCGCCCCTCCTTTGCGCCTCAGCCCCCTTTCCTCCGTCTGCAAAAGTGGCCCTCGCCAGGTGGCTTGAGGGAGGGAAGGCATGCCGGCCACCGACCTCCGTCTTGCCTTCCAGAAAAGGTGAGCGGGGCTGGTCCAGCTTCTTTTCTGCCAGTGACTCCATAACCCTAATTTTTGTGGTAACATTTTGGCAGCACAGAAAGTTTTGCAATTCGTGTGGAAGCAGCACAAGCTCGGCATGGAGAGGCGGGTGGCACATTCTGAACTAAAATAATGACCCTTAAACCCTGAAATAATAAACTGAAAATGGTGAGGATCCTGACAATTGCCAAGATTGTACCCACTGATTTCATGGGCATGTGGATCCAGGTTGCCGGTTTCCAAAGGTCCTTAAAATTCTTCAAGTCCTCACATTCTCCTGCAGAACAAATAGTAACATTTCCCTGCTAGCTTCAAGCATTTGTACTTAAGGTTTAGTTTCCATGTGTTTGTTTTTACTTTTCAACAATGTTGTGCAAGATACACTTTGTGCTAATGTTTGTGTTTATGCTGAGCTGTGTGTAGAAGTGGTGTTTGCACAGTGCTGAAAATGTGAAAGAATCCTAGCAAATCACAAACCTGAAAAATCTAGTTTAGAGGAAGTTTTGCCTAGGAGCTTTAGCAGGTGATGCTGTGAGGCAGTTACATTCCAAAACGAAGATGTAAAAATAGCTTCGCGTTTAGAAGGAATCAGCTACAAGGCACTGTCAACGCTAGGAAAATAATTACAAGTTTAAATGCATATGTCACAGGATCTTTTAATTGACAGTGACAAAGGTTACTGTAGCCTGTAAAAAGGAACAGGCTGCAATACGGATTCATGATGGAAGCGTTCTGAGAAACCTGGAGAAGAAAATTCAGAGAATGACCTGGCCCCAAACATCCTAAATAACTTCATTCTTGATAAACCGTGCAACCTTCAGAATGTTCCATCCCGAGGAAGACCCAGCCCTCCTATTCACACCATCCTCGCAGTGGAGCAGATGTTTCCTGCCCTTGCTTTCCCACACTACCCTGCAGTATCTGAGGTCGGGAAGTTACATGCGAGGAGCAGACAGTGGGGTTATTTCCCCTACTAGCTGTGCCTCTTCCTCTCCCTGCCATTCCCGGCAAAGTTGACCCTGGCATGGAAAGCGGCTGTGTCTTGCCCTCCATTCACTTGCTCTGCTTTGCTCAGACTTGGACAACCATTCTTAAGGCAACATACGACTGCGTTCTAAGTACCAGACTGTGCATTTGGCTAGTCCTCAGTTTTACCTTGGAGTGCAGTGTTTTTCTTGCCTTCCCATGGGTCTCCCCACACCCCAGTGCAAACAGTGCAGGTCCCCAACCTGGGACTGCAGGAAGGAGTAAAGGGTTAAAGCTTCCCCATCGGAAGGTTCCAGTCAGACTGGGATCCCACACTGGCTACTCGTGAAAGGAAATGATCACACTCAAGGGCAAATGATGCGAGTGATGTAACACATAGTTTGGCCTTAAGAGGAATGCGTGCGTAACTGTTCCCCTTTACTCCGTTGATGGCTGCGTATTTCATTTTCATGGTGTAATTTGCTTTGCCTCCACGTACAGGTGGAAATTATTAGCGTTATGTCCCAGCTATGCAAGTACAATTTGCTTGCACATACATTTCACATTAAACCTTTCTGCAGAGATTCATATAAAACCAGCTGCCTAGACGGTGTGCATCCTGATCGGTGCTTAGTAGGCCTTGTGGGAAGTCAGCTGCATTCGTGCTCTCCGGAGGGATGGAGTGGGGGACGGAAGGGGCAGATACGCTCTGGAATCCAGCAAGGGGGCCTCTCTCTCAGGCCCTGGTGCTGGCACCCCCTGGACACTGCAGTCCCCTTGGATGGCTCAAAAGTTTGCTTAGAAGAGGGGGACGCGTTGAGCTCTCCCATCACGCTCCCGTGCAGGACGTGCAGGAGTAAAATAAATCGCCAGGCACAAGCCTCTTTGACTAATCAACGTGTTTGTGGTGTGCCATGAAGCAGCCTAGTAAGACCTAGAAGAGCAAAGGCAAAGCCACCGTTCTGCTGACCATGCGGACCATTCTTAGCCCCCTCTCTGTGGTTCATCCACTGGTCCTCGTCACGGAATAAGGAAGCTCGTAAAGCCAGGCTGGCCAGTAGGTGGGGATTGGCAGAATGAGCCTGAACGGAAGGCGTTTGAAGGGAGCACGTTTCTCTGTTTGCAAGTGCGGTCTTGGAGTGGTGCGCTTCCCCTAACCAAATGATTGCACTGTCTCTAGGTTATGGCACATGAGCTGTTCTCCACATTTAGTCTCAGATTCATTGGACGATGACCAAGGGGGACACCTGAAACAAAATGATGCAGTGTCCTTTACGCGCGGAGAGAAAAACCGCGGCTGTCCCCCTGGCCAGACTTGCCGCTCCTTCGCAAGTGCCAGCATGGTGGGAAGACGATGTTGAATCGTCACTTTGACATCCGGCTGCCGAAGCTGCGCTGCAGTGCCTTGCCCACGGAATCCAAGCCCGGCATCGCCTGCCTGTTCCATCAGCAAAGATTCCAGAACATGGAATCAGACCACTGAAAACCAAGGCAGATGGACGCAGTCCTCGGCTCAGTGCCTGGATGGAAAGCGTAGACTGGACCGTTGCAGATAACCCGGAAGACACCGTACGGTTCTCCACAGCAAGCACATTACTTCTGAACACTTGTAACTCATAAGAACATAAGAACTCATAAGAACTTATGTTGGAAGCCGTCCCGAGGCTTATGCGAATGGGACGGCATACAAAAACTCCAAATAAATAAATACATAAATAAGAACAACCTCCCCCCCCCCACCAAAAAAACCCCCAACACCCTGTTCTGGCTGCTAATGCTAACTCAACATATGTGCAATATATTCCCCAAAATGAGCAGTTAGGCACTTTAAGGTAGAGACATAACTTGCTGTAAAACTGACTGAAAAGATAGTGTTTTTCCCCTCTGAGCCAAAAGACAGTTTTACTGAAAGTTTATACTATATAGCCTGATTTTTGAGAGGCATAAGAGGGAGTTTAATGCTGAGCATAAATCCTAGTTGGGGATGTTTAGGCAATGAGGCTTTTTGTGTATTTCTTGTAGCAACTCTGCTCCTGTTTAGTTGGACTAGAATTTACATAGCTTCTCAAGAGACAACGCCTGCTTTGGACTTAGTCTTGTTTTAATGCGATAGTGAACAAGGGGATGCATTTAAGTTTGGTGCTATAAACTAAATCTAATCTCGCTCGTAGGTAGCTGTTGTCGGAGAGTATCCTGCCCTTCAGGCGTTGAGCTAGTTGAGTTCTTGCTTTCTCCTCTCCCTGTACAAGTAGCCACACTTCTGCCGTACCTGTTTTTCATCTAATGCTACCTTCACAAAGGACCAATGGCCCATTCATGGGCGGCCCTGGGCCAGTGCAGAGATCCACTTTACCTGCAGAAGTGCCCAGCAGCTGGTAGCACGGCGGGGAAATGCCTTCCGTCACCCAAGATCCAGGCAGCCACCTCCAGTTGGAGCAGACAATACATTTCCTCTCCCCTCCCCTCCCCTCCCCTGCCTGGGCAATTCCCAACAACAAACGTATTGTGAGCCATCCTGAGATGCCTAGGCATAAGGGACGGCATACAAACGTTTTAAATAAAATAAACTGAAACCACAAAATATAACACACTAATATTATTACAGAAATGTTACAAAGCTTAAAACTAGAGTGTGGAAGAACAATACAAACAAACAAAAAGAGACATAGCAGTGCAAGAAGGACCAACGGCCTGACCCAGCACGTCTTTTGTCTCCACGGCAACAAAAGCCAAGATGGCTTCCTCACACCCCGTCCGCTCACAGCAGCCAGGCCTTTTCTGGTTCATTTCCACCCCATCCTTGGCCTGTTTCACGGCCTGCTGGGAGGCATGACTTGGGCCCCTAGATCAGCACATGGGACCGGACCGCTGCCAGCCAGCCAGCCATGTTGGCGATGCCTGGCCTACGAGATCCCGCAGAGGCCACACGTGGGCACCCCTGCCAGGGCGAGAGCGTGCCATGGTGGATCGACTCGGATACAACAGGCCTGTGGCAGGGCTTGCTATAAACCTAGTATGTATTATTCTGATTTCTGAAGAGGTACTTCAACAAAAACGGTGCCAACTTGAGCCAGTGACCTTATCGTTCTGCACTTTGATTTTACGCAATGTTTGGCGTATAAAAAAACCTGTTGTCTAGCTTGATTTTGTATTTGCAGAATATGTAGACTATTTTAATAAATATTTTATAATAATGTCAAAGTGTATCCCTTTTCTTTCTTCTAAAATATAGGTCTTAGTGCTATACCCCCTTCCCATGGTAAACTGCCTGCATCTCTTTTCTCTACATACCAATGCTGGGCAGGGTTGGAGCTTTTCTGGGAGGCTGAGAAACGTTTTTCATGTGCTGGCTTTGTGATGCTTTAAATACCGTTCCGTACATTTTACACCAATGCATGAAACAAAAGTTGGATTTGGGGCATGTCAAGCATGTATTTTTCTGACGCAGAAACTTCTGTAAATAGATATTGCAGGAAGAGTGGTGGTTTGCAGAGGTTTTGAAAGTCAGTGGTGCCCACAAAACTCCTTGCTAAAAAACTATTGCTATTTTCTCGTTGGCTTTCCCTGCTGAATCTTTCTGCTTTGTGGACTGTTTGGCTCAGACATTTTTCTTCCATGCTTTTCACTGTGAACTGATTAAGCGTCTGTTTAAAAAGTGTTGCACTGAATAAAAGATTGACCTCTCAATCATAGCATTGCAAATCCTTTTTAGGCTGGTGGGATGTAACCCGGTGACAGTATTAGATGGGAATCTGTTTTATTTTAAATAAGAGGCCAACTCTTTTTCTCACGAGTTCATTAAAATAAATAATCCCTTTGCTATAGTATCCCTTATTTATTTCAAAATATTTTACAAGCAAAGGTGAGAGTAATTCAGAAATCTATTTAATTGAGTGTATGTTTTATAGAAAATTCCTATTTATATTGCCCCGGATCTTTTTTTTTTTACAGTATTCTTAGAGTGACATAGTAAAACGCGCTTTATTATGATTTTCCTTGGCTCACAGCCCCTGCTGTTGAATTTATTTGCCCAAACCAGGAAGTTTATGGGTGCGGATTTCTGCATTGCATCACATGCAGCAAGGGCGGCCGAGGGCACGTACAGCATGCGAAAAATCCGCTTTCCTACTGTGCCAGGATGGGCTAAATATGAGTAGAGGGGCTGTATTTTGAGCCAACGTTGTGGAAAATGCCTGGGATCCACGCTCATGGGAATCAGGCTCCTCCTCCGTTTCTGGAACCTGCATCTTCTGGTGGAAAGGCGAGATAGTAGCTTTGGACTGGTTTCTTGGCTTTGGGTTGGTCAGTTGCTTCTCAAAAGTGAGATAAAGCAGCAGCATGTTTCTCAACGATGAAGATGGGAACCCTGCGTGTCCCGATTCCAAAACATGAACTGGGGAGGTGTCCTCCTGAGCGGGGTGGGGCGAGGCGCCCAGGTCTTCTCAGTGGTGGCACCCTTCCTTGGAAGGCCTTCCTCCTCGGCTGCCTGGCATCTGCATTTATGCCCAGTCGGCATCAGGTGAAGTTCACTTTGTTCACCCAGATCTTTATTTCTAACAGCGGCATTTGCTGCTCCTGGAATATTATCATGTTACAAGTGGCCTCGTTTCTCTCCTGCTTTTCTCAAGTTTGAGTAATTCTCTCTTTTGTGCGGTGTTGATTTTAACGTCCTCCTCCTGCTTTTTATCTTTTTCTTATGTTTTTATTACGTAGAATACATTTTGTTGCTTGTGATTGAAAGCCACCTCCAAAAGTCCCTCCGTGAGGCAGGATGTGCCGTTATTAAATAAATAGTCCACATAGTCACTGCTGCCACAGGGACAAATAAGGAAATGTTTGATGCTTGGAACTGCCATTAGTCTAAATGAAGTAAGATAATTACCATCCAGCCGCTCGTTTTTGCTTTTCCGAACCCACCTCGGTGCGCTTCACCTCGGCCTGAGCAGGCATCGACAAGGGCCGGGCCCGTTTGGTCGCCTCCTCGGAGTCCGATCTGCAGACACGTTTCCGTTCATGCTGGTGGAGCCGGAAAAGCTGCCTCCCACTCTTGTCCGGAGGCATTCCCGGCATTCTCCTGGGACTCCTGCTCTCTCACACAGACAGACACACAGCAGCGGCAACAACACAGCACACACACCCTCTAACTCTTCCCTTTGGTGCCCTTTTCCCGGAAATCCTCGGTGCTTTTCTTCGTTCCTTCCCACTCCTCGGCTCTGACAGTCTGGAGCTTGTTTAGCTTAGGAGCAGAGGGAGCCATAAAGGCTCTTCCTGTGGAAGCGCCACCGAGGAGCACTGGAGTGGCAACGATCAGGGCAGTGCCGACACGACTCTCCTCTGCTCCACTGGGGTCTGCACCAGCGGAAAGCCCAGCGGAGCATCCCTGTTTGCATTTTTAAAATCGATACCGCCTCTTCCTGAATAGGCGACCTGCGTGTGGGTCCAGAGGCGTCTGCTGCAGGGCTTCGGCATGTCCCGGGCCAGTTCTGCGAGGTGCCTCCAGTCGCCTGCTTGGGGGAGGTGCTCCGGATGGGGGCCCGCCATGAGAGCCCTCCCCGGTGCTGCGAGCTCCCGCTTCCTTCGGTTTGACTGCTGCCGCAGCAAGTCCTGCCCCCAGGAGGGGCCCCGAGGCCCCACGCGGGCTCCACCCTTCACCCCAGCAGGGCCCCCGTGCACAAGAGCTGCAAGTGCACAAGGGAGCTGACTGCGAATGCAGGGTCCACCGTGCCCCCTCTCTCCAAGGAAACCAGGGCAGCATGTGTGGGGGCCGCCCCACAGAATTCAGGCTTGAGGGGCCCGAGGGCAGCGCTGCGTCCGGACGAGCCCTGCCTCCCGGACCTCAGTCCAGTGCTGGTCCCGATTCTGCTTTCCTGCCTCTCCCACTTGTGGGGAGGTGCGCCCCATGGTTTCCTGAGGGCACCCCTGCTCAACCGCACGGCCTCTCCCTCGCCTTTCCATTTTTACAGTCTTCTTTTCTTCACAGATTGAGCTGCAAAAAAGAAAGATGAAGCAAAAGGAACTGTTTATATTGCAGCTTTTAGAAAAAATATCTTTCCTTGAAGGAGAGGTAAGTATGAATATGCGGCTAACTTTCTGCAAGTGATTGTTGCAATCTGATAAGGAATTGCTTGATTGTTCTGCATGTGTACAAAGTCTCAAAACAGCTCTATCTCAGCTAGCCCAGGGCTAATTTTGTTATAATTTTAATCGGGCCACGTGCCACAGCCTAGTTTTTAACTGGTTTGTACTTCCGTTTTGTGGCGTGCCAGCCTCAACACACTCCCTGCTTCATCCCTGGGTGCTTTAGGCACCCGGCAGGTCATAAACATCTCACCAGCTGGCGGAGGATTTGGGCCAGCTGCGCCCTGGTGCTGGAGCAGGCGATGGTTGGTCAGTCGGCACGGGACAGAGTGGAGGGAGATGCACAGGAGCGCGGCGGGAGGAGGACATCTGTGCCGCAGCTGGAGCCCAGAGCGGCTCCGGTCAAGTACCACGTGATGGGAAGAGCACCTAGCTGCTGTTCCTCAGGGGAGAAAGGCCATGCTTTACCTTTCATGCAGGCAGTGGGGGCACCAGTGCTCCCCACCGCAGAGGCCCCTGCGGTGGGGCCGTTCCCAGGCCTGGAAGCACCGGTTGGGAAGGCCAGGCCCACCCTCAACCTGCTGCCCCCTGCAGGCAGGCAAAACCCCTGGGGCTGAAGGGGGTTAATTCCTTGGGTGTTATGCTTGAATTCTATTGTTGTGGCTTTAATTGTATTTCTGATTGATTTGCTTGTATGCTATATTGTAAGCTTCTGTTTGCACTCTCCACATGGGCTACCCAGAGTGCCATTTCTGGCGTAGAGGTGGGCAGTACCTCCAGCACAGTCTAAGGATTGTGCGGTCAATGTGTCTTTCAGAACAAAGAACTTCAAGACCGGTTAGATTATTTGATGGAGACTCGGAGAAAGGAGGATGTTGCAACCAGAGATGTCGGAGTGGGTTGTGACCTGACACCAAGGTACCCCAGCAGGCACCCATTTAGGCCCATCTTGCCAGTGACCATGGGCTCCCGGGGGGCGGGGGGGGGGGGGCTGTGCGCACACGTGCTCCCAGGGGGGGAGGGAGGGAGGGCTGCTCCTCTGAGGTCAGTTGGAAAGCAGTTATAGGCCATGCATCATAAACTTTAACGGGTTTGCTGCATCACAGCTCGCCCAAGGCCCTCCCAGCTCAGTGGCGGGCAAAAATACATCCTTCCACTGGAGCAGTTTAATGAGGCACCAGCAAAACGACTCGATTACAGCCTTGCCCTTCTGACACACAACCCAGCAAGGGCTCCAGTTTGCGCAGTTCGGCCTGGAGGCGAACGTAATGGGGAAAGTTACGGGATTTCCAGGCCTGTGTGAGCTGCTTCTGCGGTGCCTTGTGGGGACCGTTGAGGTGCCGGAGCGTCTTTATGTGGTGCATTCAGGTGCTTATCCTTGACCTTTCCACTGCCGGGTTGGATGGAGCTTTTCCACTCCTCTTTAATTTTTATGAGAAGTCAATGATGTCAATGGCTTGTGGGACGCCCAGAGATCCTCAGTCAGAGGAACGTGTGTCGGGATCTGGTGATGTCCGACGTGCCTTGCAGCACCCTGGCAAGTGGCAGCGGTGGCGTCCATTCTCACGCAAGCCACCTCTAGCGCATTAGTCTTCGGCTCGCCACACATGGCCCAGCGCACCGCCCCGGTAAACAGCATCCGGGCATGCAAGATGCAGTTCAATTTTTAGAATTCAAAGCATTTCAACTTTAAATGCTCAGCTGGATGTTTAAATGTCCTTAATGGCCTCAGAGGGATAAGAATGGTGTTTCCCTGCCTGGTTTGGCCTTTCCGGTCAGAGCAGGGCTGAGGGAACTGTTCCTGTGGCCACCAGTACCCTGGTTGGCTCCGAGCCTCGAAATTGCCTCCCAAGCGATGCCTGTCAAGCAGCTGAGTGTCTAACATCCTGGGCCGGTCTTGCTTTTCGTTCTGATCAGCACGGAAGACAGCAACACACACTCTGCACTGCCCAAGCCTGTCAGGACCTACACCCCCTTCACAAGAGTCATGGAGTACTCGTGGAAGCACCGCATGGCCTCCAACCTTCTGGGCCCACAAGTTCCTTTCCAGTGAGCCGGTGTCGTGCAGCGCTGCAGCTGAAGGACCGAGGAGCTAAGCCGGATGAGGCATAGTGGAGCCTCCAAGAAGCCTTCCAAGGACAGTGTCCGCGAAGCTGCTGGGTCAGGCAGTCTTTCTCTGCAAGAGGCTGAAGTCCTGCATGGAGGGCAGTGGAGAGAGCTTTCCGGGCATTTGGGCACACTCAACTCAGGGAGAGCTGCTCCTTCAGCAGTCCTAGCTATGAAAGCAAACTAATTTATTACTTGAGCTTTAATACAGCACAGTGTTAACGGCAAAGCAGTGCTTGGCAAGGACATGTATTTCAAAGTTTCTCCTCTCCTTTGCAAAGTGAAGGAGTTATAGCCAAAGAAGCATTCTCAGTGTGCAGGGGGTGGAGGGGCCTCCGAGATGAAGGCGGCTGTCAGAGCCCTGGGATTGTGGCACTCCCTGCCCTCTCCACTCAGCAGTGTGGCTGGAAGAGCTGCATTTTGCTCAGCTAAAGCATGGCTGAGGTGCTCCAGAAGGTAACTTTGCCCTGAGCTGCTGCCACAATGCACCTCGCTTTCTAATCTTAAGCACAACAGTGGGATTAATTACCAAGTTCATTATTTCTATAGCCTGCCAACCTCTGGAGTGCACCTTCTGTATTCTTTTGTTTAAAGGGGCTTTGCCGCTTTTCCAAACACCTTTCATCTGCCTCCTACACACATAGCATCAGATATTTTAATACACGGAAGTTCCAGCACTTCTGTTTATAACCTTCTAGGTTTATAAATGACAATCCTAGTGTCCTGTATATTCAAAGTCCCAGAATATTTTTTCACTGAAATGTGGTTTAAAATCCTCTGTATTGAAGCTTCATTTGGATTCAACTAACTCATACTGTATGACTATATGTATATATAAATATTGCATCTCACTGAGGTGTTTTTAATACCCTTCAGCAGCAGTGCTGGGGGGGCAGGAAGCCTATCTCATCCTCAAGCATTTTTCTTAAAGAAGGCTGACAGCACAATGCACAAGAGTCAAGACACCGCTTTTAAAAACTGGCACAATGCTTTAAAAAACACTCTGGTCTGTTGCACCTCTCTTTCACATTTGACAGAGCTTGTATTTTCTTCATTCATTTGTACTTTTCAACCAGCAAATTATGCAGGTTAGGGTGGATCACTCGCACAATTTTGCTGCAACAGAACGAGTTGCACCATCCAGAAGGTGCTGCTTCTGCTCAGCTTTTCTTGGGTTTCTTCTGCAATCAAAATTGTGGATGGGGACCAAGACTGTTTGCTGGCCATGCTGCCTCTGCGTCTTTTCCCCTTAAAAAATCCATAGAAAAGGATGCTTGCACTTTTGAAAACATATTTTGCTGTGCTTTCGAGCTGAGGATGGCATTGTGTCCATAGTGTAGTTTCCTGCAACAGCAGGGGGTTGGACTCAATGGCCTTCATGGCCCCTTCCACCTCTTCTATTCTATTATTCTATTCTATGATAGAAACATTGGAGGAATGAAAGCTGGTGGCTGCTCCATCCCTGATCTATAACGTGAGCGCAGCGTGTGTGAGCTCGTGGCACCATCCTCAGATTCTCTAAACAGCTGTCCACATCTGGATGGAAGCACCAGCTGGGAAGCAGCTTCCCTTTTTGCATTCTCTTTGCACCATTTCGGTGCTGGGGGGGGGGGGGCGTCCGAGGAGTGGGGCTAAGCCAGCCTCTCCCAACCTGGTGCCTTGCAGCTGGGGGATACGCTCAGTCTCTGCTGAGGGCACCGGGTTGGGGAAGGCTGCACTCGGCACTCACGCCCACCTGCTCTCACTCCCTCCTTCATGCCTGCAGCTGGCAGCCCACTCTGCCCTGCATTCGCCTGCCCCCGCCCCATTCCAAAGGACGGCTGGGATTTGGGGGCCAGCCCAGTGTGGTCACACAAGCGCCTTCTGCTCAATCTCACGGCGTGCAGGGCAGGCGGAGCAGGTGCCGTTTCCAGCCCGAACGCGCATGTCTGTGCAATGTCTCACTCGCTCCAGAGCTCTTTGCCAGAGCCATTTTCATTTGAAGGCACCGGACGACGCACAGCTGCACTGGGAGCCCCTTCCTCTGATCGAAGCCGCCCTCCTTCCCCGGCAGGGGAGGCCTTCTCCTGGGGAAAGGGAGGCAGCCTTTGGTGCTGTCCGTTCAGTTATGCAGGCTCTGATGAGAGAGTTGGCTGGCTGGCCTGTAAATTGAGCAAAAGCCTGAGCGTCTTTGGAGCAGATATGTCACTCTGGAAGAAAAGGCAATCCAAATAAGGGACTAGATAAATCTGTGATGAAAGGGAGGAAGTAAAGTAGGAGAGTTGTCAGTCACCAGGGCAGAGCCTCTTATTCCCTGGGCAAGGGGGAATTGTGCCTTTGCTCCAAATCTGGGCCTGCTTGGAGGGCCAAGCAAAGGGACTCCGCCAGTGCAGATTCCAGCGAGGCTGCTCAGGGCTGTGTCTTGAGAATGACCGGGGCAGCCCCAATTCTTCCAGTTATCTTGCCAAAAAATATGTCAACCTCTGCCCACACCAGAGGCTGAGAGCTGCGGCCCATTCTCGTGCACTTTGATTCAGAAGTAAATCTCATTAAGTTCACAAGGACTCCTGGCGAACTAGACCTTCCTTCCCTTATTCATTCACCTGTACCTGCCGAGACGTGCAGAGGAGCGCCCGGTGCAGACTCGTGCAGCACGACGCTTGCCCTCGGCAGCATCCCTTGCAAAAAAGAAAAGGCCTTCCCTTCTCTCTCGGCCGGCCAGAGGAGCCTCCTGCGCCCCCTGCGATGAGCTCGCGGCTGCTTAGGGTGCGCCTTAGGAGCGCGCCGGGAAGGCAACGGAGATGCGCCTGTCCCGAAAGCGCTCGACGCCGGTGCCCGTGGACTGCAAGCCGCGCCGAGGAGCCGCCTTGCTTCCGGCGCAGCCCCGCGCGTGCAAGGCGAGCAGAGCAGAGCAGAGCGTGCCGGCGGCAAGCGGGGCGCCGCGGAGGATCGCGCGCGGGACCGACGTGACCTGCGCAAGTCCCGGGGCTGCGCAGGAGCCTCTGCGCGGCGTGGCTCGGGGGCGCGGGCCGCCTGTCTCCTGCCCCGCGGAGCCCGGCTGCCCCCCTCCACTGCCGGGCGCCCCCAGGCGGCGGCGCAGGGCACAGCCCACACTCCGCGGAGGCGCATGCGCTCGGGAGGCGCGCGGCTTGCGGCACTTCCGGCGTCATGGCGGCGCCTGGTTGTGGCCGGAAGTGACGGCTTCCGTCCCACTCCGCGTCTCCGCCGCCCCCGGGCGAGCATGGCGCGAGTGCCGCCGCCGGAGCCGCTGCAGGGCCGGAGCCTGCCGGAGCTGCGGGAGATACTGTGCCGGCAGGAGAGGCTGCTGAGAGACCGGTGAGGGGCGGAGGGAGGGACTCGGGCGGCCGGCCCCCGCCGCCCGGCCCTCCAGGGGTGCCCGGGCCGCACGGGGAAGCCTGACGCCGTGCGTGCGCCTTTCCCGCCACGGGGGTGGGGAGGGGACGCGTGAAGCAGGGTCCGCCTGCCGTGACTCTGACTGGTAGCTGCTTTCTGGGCCGCCGGCCGGAATGGGTTTTCCCAGCCCCACCTGGACATGCCGGGGCTAAATATGGGGGCCATTCCCCAGGCCGGGGACCAGCGGTAGGATCGCACTCGGACACGAATACTGCCACCATCCGAGGCTATGCAAAATCAGAGAGGAGACCTGCGCTTACACGAGGCCACCCATGAATGCAAAATAGCAACAGGTGGCTGGGCTTCCTTGAGTACCTTTTTCTGCCCAGGTCATCATATCTGCCCATGCTAAACACATTCCAGCCATCAAAATTATACCCAGACACCTAGGTTTTGTACCCTAAGCCTACCATGGTGCACACCCCTGATCCTTCATTGAACCCCTAAAAGCCTTCCTTGAATATCTTAGTAACAGGTGGCTGCCATGCTATCACAATGGTGTCCTTCTGCTGCCGGTTGTCTCTTCCTTTGGAGAACAAGCATTGTTCAATACGAAATGCAACTCACTGTTCCATGCAGGAGTAGCAGAGAAGCAATATTTACTGTGAGAAGAAACACCCTGTTAATCATTCTTAAGGGTTTCCCCCAACACCCACCTTTGGATAAGTAAACCAAGCTGGTTTCCCAGGGACGAGGATTTGGCAACCTAACATGTGATGGGGGGGACGTGGAAAGCAGACTTGGGTGTGAGGATGGGGCTGCTACAGCTACACAAGAACTTTCTGATTTTCATGTTTTCCTGTGAAACTTTAGAAGGCACATCCCTCTAGTGACAGAGGTTCGACGTAGAGGTGTCTGAGTGCCTCATGGGTGGAGATGTGCCCCCACCCCAGTCTAGTTGCCTATTTTAGGGCGTGACTGAGATGTCCGTTAAATTTGGACAGCACATGCGTTGCTGTGGTGCAGGAAAGTTGATCCTCCATTTGGCAATGCAAATCTGACAGGTGGGATTTAGCAGGCTGCTTGCAGAGGGTCAGAAGAAATAGCAAATTTCACTTAGAATTTCCCTTTGCATTTACTTGGGTTTAAATCAACTGTCTTTTATTGTGTATATTATAGGAAATTTATTTGCAGACTTCCAGATAAAGGTAAAAAGATCTCTGATTTTGCTGAGAAACTGAGGATTGTTATAGCCCAAGAGGAAGAGCTAAAGAGGACGACTAAGCTTTTATCAGCTGTTAAGTTAGAGTTCCAGGGAAAACAAGAGGCTGTTGAATCCAAGAAATGGAATGCTGTTGTCAACAGTGACAAGTCACCATGTGAAGATTCATCTCTTTGTGTTCCGTGTTCTGCTCATAACATTAGCAATGATGTCCAGCCGGCCTTGCACAGCAAGCAAAACCTTTGGACTGAGAAGAGAAGCACAACAAATAAAATGGAAGGAGTTCAGCAGATTCTTGAGGACTCCTGTATTCCTCAAGGAAGTAAAAATGTTTTGGAGGCATTTGCAGCCAGGCTTCCAGGAGATGCTGCAAAGGACCCTGAACACAATTCTTTAGGCAGAACTGAAAATCCAGCACTGTCTGCCAGTGAGAACAGTGAGGCTTTGAATGATGCTTTTGCAAGCATTTCTCTTGGGCAGAGAGAATGTGAGGAAAACACGGATGGACAGGATGCTAAATGTGAAAGCAGCCTTTTTCTAAACCTTCCAGACAAGATACCCCAAACTTCACATTACACTGAAGTGGTAGAACATAAAGAAAAGAACCCAGTCATACAGAGAAGCAAATTCAAAACCAATGTGTGAGTATCACAGAAAAAAACCCAGTCTCTTTCAGAGCAGTTTTGTTATAATACCACAGGTGTGTATTAATGTATGCTGGGCAGCTTCTGCTAGATGTTTTAAGGAAGAAATGTTAACAAAAAGTAACCTTATAAATGAGCTAGCTGATTTTACATTCTTCTTAATTTCATTTTTAAAGTGATGCTTACATGCTCATAGGTTAAGTGTGCTGGTCTTTGTATAAGCTGCAGAATGTAGCAAGGGATTCCCATTTGTTTGTTTGTTGTTTGTTTGTTTGCTGCTGCACAGTAGCCATAGGTTCTCTGGGCAGCTTACATACTTAGGTCAGGTGTCCCTTAATAAGTAAAAGTGGAAAAGGGGGAGCTGCCCCGAGACCTTTTCAGGGCATTGGGCCAAAGTGCCAAAATGACACCAATGCCCACAGCTTAGCAGGGAGCCCGGCTCAGCCAACTCTCACTTTCTGGTAGACCTGCAGTCAAGCGGAGTGTATCGCCTCGGGGCTCTCCAGATATCCCCTTGCCAGGAGCATCCTCCTCTTCCATGTCCAGTGAGGAAAGGCGTCGCAGAGATAAGAAGCACTTGGATGACATCACAGCTGCCCGGTCGCGCCCTCTTCTTCATGAGCCTGCCCGGCTGCTCTCCATTGAAGAATCAGTAATGATTCAGATCCAGCAAAAGGCAGCATATGAGGTGTGGATGAAGATACCAGTGCTGGGCACAGGCCCTGGCTCTGTTTTGGGGGATACAGCGATGGTGGGGACTGTTCTTCCAGGTTTGTGATGGCGGAAGGGGGCTGCCATTCCACACAGGCTGACGCTGGAGGAGAGTTGGGGGCTGGCATGAACCCCTTGGGGAATGGTGGGGAAAGAGGGGGCAAAGCTGTTGTTGGGGCCATAACTCTGGGGGAGCACTTCCCTGCATCCACTAGGCAGATGGTGCTACTTCCGGCCCTGCAAGGAGTATGGGCAGGAGGTGACGAGAGCCTCTGCCACCCAGAGGAAGCCGTCTGTAGCTCATGGGACAGACGGGCTGACTCCACAGTCCCGCCCAGCTGCAAGGAGGGTTATGTTCGGCTGCTGAGGAGAGGCCGAGTGGGCCGCTTGGGGCAGCAGCACCCACTCTCAAGGGCTGCCTTCTGGAAGCATTCCCTCAAAACGGACTCGTCAGCGCAAATGTCGATTTTTAATTTTGAGGTTTGCATCCCATGGATCTGTGAAGAAATAAAACTCAAGGGGCTTTCAGGTAATATTGCAAAATTACAACAATGTCAGGGACCGCTCTGAGGACAAAATTAGCGAACGATACATAAGCAACATTCGAAAAGCTCTGGGATCCCCAAGCCTGAATGTAAATTCTGAATTTCTCTGCACATGTGAAACCCGCTTTCTCCCCCATGGGTGGATTCTGCTGAGCAGTGCAATTCTGTTGCAGGTGCTTCTGACGCCTTCTTGAGGGTTCATCTGCATTAGATGCTAAAAAGTGCCACCTTGGCTCCAGTTTTTCTTTGCTCTGGACAGCGGCAGCCAAGGTAGACCTGGGCCTGATTAGACTTTTTGTCCCAACCCTGCTTGCCTGGAGAGTCACTCCGTGTGGCTTCAGGCCTGGGTTCCAGACGCTTAAGAACTACTCAGCTGGACGCAAGGCACAACTTGACCTGCCTGCTAAGAGACCTCCTGCATTAGTATCGGTGCTCAAGGATGCCCGGCAGAAGCAGCTGGTTTTGTTTTGTTTTTGCCGAGCCCTCCTAGCCAGCCATGCTCAGCTCCTTTCCACAGCACTGTGTGGGTGCGAAGGGATCCTGCAGACTTCTTACCTGACCTTTGCTCACTGCAAAATCCCTCCCGACAGTCACCTGCTCTGATGCTGATGCATCGTTTCTCTTTGCTGTAGGAACTGCAAGCCAAGGTCGCAGCCCAAAAGCTGGCAGAAAGGTTGGGCATCAAGATGGCCCGTTATGAGCCGGAGGGGGAGATGACCAGCTTCCGGGAAGTGAGGGACGAAGATGGCTACAGCTCGTCCGAGGACTGAATTCGAAGCAGAGCCTGCAGACGGAGGCCAGGGTCTCCTTAGGGCCTTATAAAGATGCAAAGCCAAGCGCGATTGTGTCATGGTCTTGTGGGCCGCCACATTTTGGCCAGCAAATGCTGGAAGGGCTCCTGGACCAGAGGCCCCAGGGCACTGTGGATGCGCACAGACCCCTCGGCTCTTCCCTGTTGCCCGCTAAGGGTGTTGGTGGGCCTGGGGACTTGCACGGTGCAGGAATGGTCCCCGGTGGCTCGAGTCCCTTGGCCCCTGGCGGGAGCAAGCCCTGTCCCCTGCACCCCGAGCCAGCGAATAGCCGCGGCACAGCCATGTTGCGCCAGGTGTCCTCCGGCCTCCCTTCCTGCAGTGGCTCCTCCCAAGCACTTGAGTGACGTTCCGTTGTATATAAGATGATAAATTTTCTATTCAAAGCTGCTGTCGTAGCTCTGCTTTCCTACATCAGAGTTGGACATGGATCTCCTCGTCTCCCTCGAGGAGAAGAGGCCTTCTTGCCAGCCTGCTGCCCTGCGGGAGCAGCCGTCCTTTGCAGCGGGGCAGCTTAGTCTGGGTGGGGGCTGGGGCTGGGGATGGGACAGTCCCGCCATCTGCGCACCGGCAGGCTCTGCTTCAAGGCCGTGTCTGCTCCTGGTGAGTCGGCCTGTAAGCCTGGCTGAGCCAGAGGCCGGACTCGCAAAGGCCATTGCCCCCGCCCCCCCCCCCGCTGCTGCATGGGACAGGACTGGCTGTGACCCTGCGAAGCTTGAGGGGAGGGCGGGTGAGGAGGAGGCTGCAGCCTGGCCAGATCCTGCCCCCGGCATGCAGCCCTGTATTTGCACGGCAAGACGTAGGGTCAATTTTTGGGGAACGACGGTCTGCTGGTTTGAAACGCCACCCGGCTTTCAGGTGGCAGGAGGCGCACCGTGGCGCATGGAGCAGCTGAATGCTGACTCCCGTGCAGGGCCCCCCTGTTGTGGGGTTGTCCGCATCAGTGGAGGTGTTGCGGTTGGCTGCCCCAGCTGGGCACAGCGCCCTGAGCCACCCAGAGGGGATCCAAACGGTGCTTCTCTCGGCCACCGTCCAGGTTCGCTCCCCACTTTGCCTCCCCCGGCCCAGTTCCTCTGCCACTGCCCCGCTGCTGCTCTTGCTCGCTGATGCTCAGAACTCCCCACACACCATGCTGCTGAGCCGCTCTGGACCGTGGGGCTGGTTACCTCCTAGTGTGTGTAAGTCCCTCCCCGTTCATCCCGTGCGCCCCCCCCCAACCACCAGTAGGCATGTGGTTTCCCCACTGCATTTATATGCCATCTTTTTTCCTGAACCACCTTCATTTTATACACACAACAGCCCTGTGAGGTAGGCTGGGCTCAGAGTCCGAGCCTCAGTCACTCAGTGAATTTCAGTGCTGAGTGAGGACCAGAAGCAAGTCTCCCAAGTCCTCACTGGCTTTCCGAGTACACACATCAGCACAAACGCCGCGTGCTTGTTGTAGCAGGGCACTTTGCACGTGCTCCAGTTGGGCTTGCACAGGAGAGCTTCGCAGCAGAAGCTGCCTCAGCTTCCAGGAACATCTTTTGTCCGTTCTTGTGCCACCCCGCAGGTGCCCCAAGTCTACTGGCTCTCCTTTTAATCACAGGGTGGCCTCTGTTTGGATCTTTCCCTGCTATTGCTGTTTTGCTTCTTTAAAAGGTGTTCCTTAAAGCATTACATTTTAAAGCATCCTTTCGAATATGGGAATTTGCTAAGTCCTAATTAATTTGGTGGAAATCTTCCCTGACCCATGTCATTTTCTACCACCTTCTGATCTCTCCTTTTTTTTCAAGCCCTTCTGATTGTCACCACACCAATTATAGCAAGGTTTAATGACGGCTGATGATAAATATTAGCTTTCCTCAAACTGGAGGCACGGTTGATCGTATGTCATGTCTGCAGGCCTCTCTCGCAAGGCAAGCAGCTTGGGGGGGGGGTTGGGGGGGGGTAGGAGTGGCAAAGGGCCAGGAATTTTAATGAAAGAAAACGTCAAAGTTGCAGAAGAAATGAGAATATTAGTCAAGGAAGATTCGCAGCGCTGCTCCCTGATAACCTCTGTGAACGGACTTCAGAACTACGTGGGAGCAACTTAAACAAACATCTGGACACCAAGTTTAGCCGTCCCCCAGTGACAGAACCCAGACAGATCTTGTGGGCTTGCAATAATAAATATCTTGCAGAGGCCTCCATGAATCAACTTTAAGTCCCTGTTTTCAATTATTCTCGTTTTTAGAAAGACATCACAGTTAATTATCCAGGGATAGAACCTCTTCTGAAGTTTATTAAATTTGAGTTTAGGTTTTTTCCTTGTGCTTAAACTCCCATTTTTTAATTTGGCTCATACTTACTTTTGTTTGCCCCCCAAAACAACAGCCACTGCGGTGCTTTGCCCACTGCAGTTGCAAAAGGGCAGGAGGAAGGGAGCTGCAGGGCCCTTGACGTGGCAGGGAAGGTTACTGCCCGATCTGCCTCTGGTCCACACGGGCCTTTCCTGGGGGGAGCAGGAGGAAAGCAGCCCGGTCTCCGCATAACGCAGCTCGAAGAGGGAAAAGCCATGTCAGGAACGTGCCTGTGGCACCGCCAAAGCACCCCTTCTCTCCCAGAATCCATTTGTAACCGCTTAAATTCTCTATTTTAAAAACAGATCAGAAGTAGTAAGTGGACACAGCACATGCTCCAAAGAAGTGAAGGCTGAAGACAAACCTCACAGGTCTCGGAGGTGGTCACAGTATGCCCCCGCCTGCTGCCACGCGGAGGAAGGACCCTTGCCCGCTGCAGCTCCTGACCCCCTTCTGAGAAGAGCTGCCCGAAGGGAGCAGAGGCCCCAGGCCTGCCGTGCTGCCCCTCGGCCCACGGCACTCCCGGGCACCAGGCTTATCTCAACCAAGCCATGCGCAGCTGGAGGCCTGCCGCCCAGGGACTGAAGATGCCTGCCCAGCTGCAGCCGCTTGGCCACTCCGCAGGTAACTGAACGAGCGCATTAGCCAGAAGGTGGCCCAGGCGCGCTGCCAGGCTTCCCTGAGCAGGCATGCCAGGCACTGAGGTCCCAGAGCCTTGTGAACTCGTATCTGCACGGCTTTTTGGAAGCCCCTCTAGAAGGTGGGCGTCCAGCTGATGTGCCGAGACAACAGCGAGGCCGGCACTGCGCTCTCGAGAACCCATCTTGTGTAAGGTGTGCGATGGGCCTTCTCCGGGGCGGGGGGGGGGGGGAACCTGCCACCCCAAGAGGGCTGTCTTTCTGCGCCTCGGGCTCCGGGCTCCACTTGCGGGGGTCTCGCTCTCCTGGCGGCCGCCTTCGCCCTTCAGCGGCCGGCATCACCCGACGGCCAGGCAGTTGCCGGGGCTCAGCGGCCCGGACGGAGTGCGGCTCCCGCCGAGGAGGTGCTGCGCGAGGGGCGATTCGGCGCTGCGTCTCCCATCCCACGCGGGCCGAGAGCGCCCCGCGCGGCTCAGGATCGCGGAGCGGGTCGCGCGTGGCTCCGCACCTCTTCCTGGCGGCTGGAAAGGCAGGCAGGGGGGGGGGGGGGGGGGGGGGTGGATGCGCGAGCTTTCGGGCCGCCCCGACCTTCCCCCGCGGCGCCCGCCCGGCCCAGGACACGGCGGCGGCCCTCGCGGCGGCTCCCCGCGCCGC